CTCGGATTCGCACCCGGAGCCATACCCTCAGCAGGAGCCGAAGCAGGAGTTGGAGCCGGAGCCGGAGCCGGAGCTGGAGCCGGAGCCTGAGTTCCTCTCCTTCCAGGAGCCGTGGCAGGAGGAGGTCAGGTAGTAGAGACAGAACTGTTCAGAGTCCCAAATCCAAATAAACCAGTTTCGCTTTTAAATGATTGTGAATCTTACTTATGGCTGCTACGTACTTGGATAGAGGGCTGTGAGCTCAAATGGATTTGCAACTGAAACTGAACCCTATGTAGCCTGAAGTCCTATTTTAAAAGATTGTTATCCTCTGATAATTGTAAAATGTATTTAGTATAGAAATCCTAGGAAACAGAAAATGTGTAACATGAAAATTACTTGTCATCCTAACCCTGATTAATCAATTAACATCAGAGCATTGCTTTAGTCTTTTTTTAAATGGCTGTGTACTTTTTTTTTTAAAGGAAATTTACTTATGACTACAGCTGAATATGCTTTTTTCTTTTCACAAGAAACTGTCCTATTCCATTAAGTCTTATTCTTGTTATTTTTACTCACTGCAGCTTGGATCTACTGATTTATTTAACCATATCTCTAATGTTGGATTTTTTATTTTGTACCATTAAAGAATCCTGTGCTGAAAACAGTCCTGTGATGGATTTCCTTAAATATTTCCACACTTCTTAGGATAAATTACATCAAGGGAGAAGAATACTAAAATATTTACCAGTTGCTTCCAGAGACTACATAGTTTACAACAGTAAGCTTTGCTTTCACATGAGCCTAAATGTTATATGCTTGAGTGTTTTTGTACATATTGGATAATTGGAATACATTTGTCTGTATTTAATGGCCATTGATTCTTGTTTGCCCTTTCTTTATACTGTTAGATTTTTCTACATGTAATAGCCAAGCAGTGTTTTTGCTTTAAAATTTTGTTGTAAAGCACTAACTCATAGAGCCAGTTTTTTTCCCTACTCCCTATCTATAGTTCCCTTTAGCTGGGGGCTTTCTATCCAGCTGCACATCTTTTTTATAGTGTTAGAAGAAAATTATGTATATAGGGATAAACATTGTTTGTCATTTCTAGAAAAATTAGGGTCATTGCTACTGAATGTGCAATCCTGGTATTAAAAAAAATCATAGAAGATTAGTTAGAGAAGAGAGCCTAATGTAAAAAAAAGCTCTGGGCATCGTATCATTAGATTTCAGATCACAAATAAGACATTCTCACACTTCCTTATACATTTTTTAATAACTCTTTCCATTGACATACTTGGGATCTTGAGTTTCAGAGTACGTGACATTTGGTAAATGTGGGATTTCAGAATAAAGAAATACTGAAAAGTTAACAAAGGAAACAGCAAGAAGAAAGTTCTTTAAAAATGGGATTTGTGTGTGACATCTGTTAAGCATAAGAGTTCTTTAAAACTGTAGTCAATAAAAGAAACAAGGTATGTGGTCCAGAATAATTTCACTTTAAAACATCCAACTTGGGCACAGACTTAATTGGAGTGTTGTAAGCCACATGACAGATTATAGGTTCCGTTCCCCAGGTCAACTTGAAAACACACTAGGTATGTGCGTACTCTCCTGGAGAGCTAGAGGGCTAAGGGAGGAAGGGAATCATGGAGTAATGAGAACTTGAAAGAGTGCTTCTTTCTCTCTCGAGCTGGAGGGTCATGTGTTGATGAGACAGTCAAGGGGTGCTTGTCTCTCTCTCTCACTCATTCTTACATGTGCACATGTACTCTATCATAAACAAACTAAAAAATCTGCTTTGGGGCCAGCTGCTGGTATGGTGGTTAAGGTGGCCAACTGCACTGTTTGAGTCCTGGATCCAGCAGCTGGAAAGATGCCAGGTGTGTTTGCATGCATGCCCAAAATCCTAAGAGAAGGGATTGCAGAGTGGTCATCTCCCCTGGAGGGCGATTTCTCACTTTTCTTCTCTCTCTGGTGAGTACATGCATCCTAGAGCAAACTTTAAGAATCTTATTTTGTCTTATTTACCCTAAAAGTGATTTTTAAAAAATTCTATAGCTTAGTGAGTTAACGAATGCTTAGTAATTATTAAATTTAGCATTTTTCAATACTTTTCTAATTAACATACACTGGTGTGCAAAACTGAATAGGCTAAATAGAGGGGAAAAAAACTACCATCTTGAGCTGGACAGCTGAGGTGCTGATATCTTTTCCCGGGAATGTTAATGGGCAGTGAGATAAGGAGGGTGGGTAGGAAGGAAGCCACTCACTGCTTTGTTGTTCTGGTAAATGTTCATCTTGAAATTAAATTTACTTTTTTAAAAAAATACATATACCTGAGTACTATTTATGATTCAAAAATTCCCACTCTATATTGCTGACAGAAGCCCACAGGCCTGCCTGTTTTCAGTGAATTGCTGCATGTCTGAGGCTCTTAAACCTCAGTCTTTTTATTAAGTAGACTAGAGGCTAACTTGATTGTGGATTAAATACCCCAGTTTTTTGAGCCAGTAGGTGGCATGATGGCTAAGGCGCTGGATTCCCACATAGTTGACCACAGTTCAAGTCCTGGACCGTCATGCTAGGCACATGTGCATGTTTTTCCAGAGAATCCTGATTGGAGAAGGGAGTGTGGCATGACCATCCCTTCTGGGGGGTGATTTCTCATCTTCCCTCTCTCTATGTCTCTGGGGAGCATACATGCCCTACAGCAAAAAAACTTAAAACAAAAAAACCTCTTTAGAATATAACATTTCCAAGACCAGCAGATGGTGTAATGGCTACATCACTGGACTCCCATGTAGTAGATAGTTTGAGTCCCGACCGGGTGGCTTTAACTCTGCATGTGTGCCCAAGATCCGGAGAGGAAAATGGAGAAGAGGTTGTGGCGTGGTCATCCCCCCAGCGTGATGATTTCTCACTTTCTGTCTCTTCCTGGCGAGTACAGCATCCTATAGCAAAATCCTCTCCAAAATAAATAAGTAAGAACATTTAATGTCTGCAGTAATAGGTCTCTTAACTGCCTTGCTAACCAAACTTTTGACCTGTTGTTTACATATTCCTCAGTCTAGTCTGCAAATACCAGTCCCTTTCTATGCCTGTGCTAGCGCCTCCAGTTCATGAGCAGTAAGAGAAATCCAGTTGATGTAGAATACCTTTTAATTACGTGGAATAATCTGAGTTGTTCATTCACAGAGTAGAAAAGTCAGCTTCATCAAGGTTTTAAAAGCATTTATTGGTTGGAGATAAATGTGTAAATAAGCTCTGGATAGCATGGAATCTGTTATGTTTTAATGAACTTGAAGTACACAAAGACTCCTTACATCTTCTGCCATTTATTTTGTGTGCTTATAACCACCACCACATTCAAATGGAGGGTGATTTTCAACATTGTACTGAAAAAAAAAATTCTTCCTTCAGCAGCTTTCCATAGTTTGACAAACTTTTGGAGAGAGATGAAAACACACTACAGTGTTTGTACGTTGAACATTTATTACACTAATTGGCAATGTGGTAAGACAGTGCTCACGTGGCCTGAATGTTGGTCACAATCACAACAAAGCTTAATCCGGCATATACAGTGAGAGTGTAAACCGTGAAGACACATTTAGATACATGTAAGCATGTATAAAAGAGAGGCTGAGCGTTTATAGAGGTTTAAAAAATATAGGGCCAACTAATGTCATTTTACCTCATTCAAGTCTCCCTTGTTTATATGAAAGGTGTTCTTTCTTAAAACTTTTATAAGACTTCTGATAACTAGGCAGTGCCATGGAAGGAAAGGAAGCTGCTATAAAGTCTGCAGCACTTCTAAGTGGAGGGAAGCAAAAATAAATTTGGCTTTAATAAGCACCCCAGAGGGAACAGTCGTGCTTTAAACAATGACTTTATGCAACACTGTGTGACGAGTAACAGGTTTTCTATAAGATACTGTTATGATGAATTCCTGGTAAATTAACATTCCCACTTTATTTTGGGGCATCAAAAACAATCCAACTTAGGTAAATGATTATGTCCACAAAAAATTCATCTCAGGAGTCAAATGTGCCTTGGCCTTGAAAATTGATGTGCTCACTCACATGAACAATGTGTTCACCCCAGGTTCAAAACGCTTAAGGAATACTTTTTAGTGTAAGACAGCAGCATTCAAATTTAGTGATTTAAAATAAGCTATATTCCCTTTGTTTTAAGATATGTAGTTTCCAATAGGAGTCTTTGGTTTATATTTTTTCTTTTTAAGCTTCAACACGGATTAATTTTCCTTCATTTGATAAGCCAATTCCCTTTATTCTTATGTATACTGAAATGTTGCATTAGTTTTTGGTTTCATAAAATCAGGTTTCACTTTATAATTCAAGTAACAGTAATTAATAAATGCATACTGCCTGATTGATTTCACATGTATACAGACTGATAATTTTCAAATATGCACATAACCAGATTAAGAGAAACTCATTTATAAATTGAAAAATACCTGTAAAAGATATCTTTTTCCCATCATTCTAATTCATATTTAAATCTCTTAATTTATCATGTAATTAACCAAAGTTCCCTTTAAAAAAAAAAACAAAACAAACAAACAAAAAAAAACAAGTGTGTAGGCCTGAAAGAAGTGGCTTAGCAGAACAGTAATACTGACAAGACATCACCTTACACCGTTAGCTAACATGGACATGAAGGGGGTGACCCTCTACGGTGTGTGAAGTGCCACAAGTAGTCACCGACAAGAGAGGAGAGTTATGTCACTCCAATTTCTTCAAGAACACTACGCGGGGTTTCAGCTTCCTCCTGCAGTAGATCGGCCTGCTCAATTGCTTTAAGGACATTTTTCTTGGATGTTTCCTGAACTTCCCCTCCCAAAAGAAACTCATCGAGAATAAAATAAGCCTTCTCAAAATTAAAGATGATAGCAAGGTCACACACACTGCCAAAATACTTGTCAAGTAATTCCACAGAACGGTGAATTATTTCCAGGGTAATTAGTTAATTGTCCTGATCCTTGATGGCACAGCAAAAATACAGACTAGCATATCATTTCTGCAGTGGAAGCTTTCCCTGATGACTAAAAAGCAACATGAACTGCACGGCGGCCGCGGGCCGGGGGCGTGGCGGAGCTTGGGAGGTGTTGGTGGCAGAGGCTGCGGAGGCTGAGGGGAAGCCCCTGTCGCCTGGCTGAGGAAGAGATGCTGTCGGTGTCTTACACATTTTATGGCTATGGTAAAAGGGATTCCTTTCTTCACTTCTACCTCAGTAAACTTGTTCATATATATAAATGCTATAGTTTTTGGATGTTAATTTTGTGTCCTGGCACTTTATTGCATTTATTATTCATATATTACTTTGAGAACTTTCTTCAGAGAAACCTTTGGGTCTTCTAAGTATACCATCATGTCATCTGCAAAGAAAGATATTTTCAACTCTTCTTTGTGTATTTGAATGCCTCGTATCTTATTTTCTTTTTTAATTGCATTGACTAAGACTTCCAGTACTATATTGAAAAGGAGTGGGGAGAGTGGGCAGTCTTGTCTAGTACCAGTTTGTAGTGGGAACTCTTTAAGAATTTCCCCATTCAGTATAATGTCAGCGATGGCTTCTCATAGATGGCTTTTCTTGTGCTGAGAAATGACCCTTCTATGCCAATATTGTTAAAAACCATAATCATGA